TGAGTTCATTGCTCCTGTTTTCTCCGAGTACACAAGGGAAGATATCGACCCGGGCTCCCCTCGGGACATTACTGATGGATGTTTCAGAAACATGGTGGCTTCGCCAGGTTCCCAGTGGGATTCTGGGGCCTGGATGACCCAGACTTGTTGGCTTCACCAGGTGGAGTCACTCTGCTTGGGTATGGCCCAAGCCTGGGCTGTCAAACCTCTGGATTCCAGCTCTCTGGAGGCACCTTTGCCTCCCCTCACACCCCCGCTGCTGGGCTTCACACCATGTGTGATCACCCGATGAGGTTCTATCTGCCCTCTGTCTGTGCATCCCATGAGGGTGGGGGCAAGTCTGCATTTCTCATACAACGGCCCTGTTTCTGGAACATTCTAGGTGCTCAATAAACACTCAGTGAATGAGCGAAACACAACTTCCTCAAGGAGAAGATCCTGGCCATGCTGGAGAGGAAGAAAACACGGTTCATCCACAGCATGGACGAAGATGAGAATGAGGTGAACAGTATTCTATGTCTGTCTTGACATGGGGCCGATGCCCTCTCTGCTTTCCCAAGGACCCTGGGAGGACCAAGCGGGTGGAGAAAACTTTAGGTCTTGACCCTGGTGGTGGTCTCTGGACACTAAAGCATTTTCATTTTCTCGAAGTGGGACAGGCAGTCACTTCCTTCTTTCTGGTTACTACTGCCCTTTAATAGCACTGCCCTCCCTCCACCCACCCCTTGGGGGGCACCAGCCCTCCCTCACCTCTAACAGGCGTGACATGCTCACCTGTGCACCTGTGTCTCCCAAACCCAGGGCGGGACTCCATACAGAGCCTACAGGGCTGACCCTGTCTGACTTCACATTTTTCTTGTCCTCTGTCCTCACTCATACTGGCCCTGGCTGGATACATGTTCCTGATGAAGTCACTGGTCTGGGAGCATTTCCCATGAGCCCTCGCTACAACAACCGTATCCCATCCCTGGCTAACCCCAGCCAAGGAGAAATAAAGTAATCGTGTGTTTTTGTTTTTTCTTTGTTTTTTTGTTTTTGCTTTTTGTGGGAATCATGACCCCTCTTTCCAGGGGAGGCACAAGAAGTTTACATGGCCAGCTAGATGTCCCAAACCAGGAATGAGAGCTGTGACATTTGAACCCGGGTTCTGAAACTCCCTGCCTCAGAGCACTGCCTGCTCCATGTGACCCCAAGGAAGGCCAGACTGGAGGGTCATTCACCTTTGCCACCACACTTACTCCAGGCCCTGCCCAAGACCTGCTGCTCGTGCCTCCCAGGTAGAAGGACCAGGGAGTCCTATCCAGGCCCTCCTGGCTTCTTCCCATCAACAAGGTCAAACACACCCACTAGCACTTTCTGTTGTCCCAGGAGATCCAAAATATACCAGCAATGGTGTTAATGTCCCAAGACGGAAAACAGAAATGGAGCCGATTCAGTATAACAGGACCACGAGTTTTAGAAATTATGGAAATGAGCTAGCTTAGTTCTGTCTCCCAGGCTCTCTTCAGATACCAGGGATGCCGCCTGTACTCACCGTTCTTCTATCCTCCACACGATCAATCAAGGGATACCATAACCACAACCCCTAGGGAACTGCCCTGCACTCTACAGACACCCCTCTGCATTCTAAGAACCACATACAGGAGGTGTCATCAGATGTGTGGTCCCCAACCAACATAAGGCACCCAGGATGAGGAAGGGGACAGCCCCGTCCCTCACTGCGGGACTGACCTTTGTTCCCTAAGCGTGCCAACCACCCCGCAATCAACTGACCTTTGTTAGTTGAGCAATTGATTCAGGGAAGGAAGAGCAGATATAAGGAGATCACCCACCCCCATCAGGTTCCAGGACGCCCAGGAAGGCTGAACCCACATCTCTCTGTTTATGATCATCTACTACACCTGTGAGTAAATTTTCTGCAAATTTAGAAAACACATGATAAAGAAATTTGTATCATTTCAATCTCTTCAATTTCATATGACAAAGAAATTTGCATCATTTGAATCTCTAAGTGGCTATATTGAGCCCTGCTATTTTATGACCTCATCATATGATTGAATAAAGACAATGCTTAACAAAATCCAATTGTCATGTCTCACTGGAACCAGGCAGAAGGTATTGTATCATTTCAATCTCTTCACCCCCATATGACAAAGAAATTTGCATCATTGACCCTATGGCTATATTGAGCCCTGCTATTTATGACCTCATCATATGATTGAATAAAGACAATGCTTAACAAAATCCAATTGTCATGTCTCACTGGAACCAGGCAGAAGGTACGGAGGGCAATGGAACCAGGCGGAGGGTATGGAGGGCAATGGAACCAGGCGGAGGGTATGGAGGGCAATGGAACCAGGCGGAGGGTATGGAGGGCAATGGAACCAGGCGGAGGGTATGGAGGGCATTAAGGGTGTTTGGGATTCACTGAAAGTAAAGCCACAACATTCTTCTGTCAATTGTACTTATATTTTCTTTTCCTTTTCCTTTTTTTTGAGATGGAGCCTTGCCTTGTCACCCAGGCTGGAGTGCAGTGGTGTGATCTCGGCTCACTGCAACCTCCGCCTCTTGTGTTCAAGTGAGTCTCCTGCCTCAGCCTCCCAAGTAGCTGGGATTACAGGCATGCGCCACTACGCCCGGCTAATTTTTGTATTTTTAGTAGAGACGGGGTTTCTCCACGTTGGCCAGGCTGATCTCGAACTCCTGACCTCAAGTGATCTGCCTGCCTCGGCCTCCCAAAGTGCTGGGATTACAGGCGTGAGCCACCGCGCCTGGCAATATTTATATTTTCTTTTCCGAAAAGTGAGTGTGAGAAGACAAAGCAATTCTACATTAAATTTATTATGGAAAATGTTTCTTCCTGGTAGTTTTAAGTGATCACGTAAGTTAGCTTATGTTTATTGCTCTACTGTAGAGCATGAGATAATACAGAGAGCCCAACTTAAAGGAAGACACAGCCGTGGGGGTTGGCCAGGCTTACTGAGTCTGTGATCTGAAATGTCTTAGGTCACAACCCATTTACTCTCGGTTATTTGAGTAACAGCATCAAGACCAACTTGTCAGGTTTGAAAATGGGAAATCGTGTCATAACGAACAGCTGAGGATCTTCCTGTTATTGCCTGATGCACTCTGGGGAGAGACTTACTGGGGGGCAGCATGCCCCTGGAGTTTGCACAGTAGCTGCTGTCTCGCACTCGCTGCACACATTTGCCTTCTCTCACTGCTGACTGCTGGGCTCTGGGATGGGGAGGGGTGGAACACAAACTCAAATGCCTGTGAGGCCAGCTGGGCAGAGACAAATGCGTGACAAGATTGGATGCCTGCAACTTATACAGAGGGGAGAGTCCTCCCCCAGAGAAACAGGCACTGCTGTTGTAATGCCTGCCCCCCTTGAACTCTGTTCTCCTGCTCTCCACGGCTGGATGGAGGAAACATTCCTCTAGTACGGGAAAGCCATGCTGCACAGTGATGAACGGCACCTGGGCCGTGGCCTCAGGGTCATGAAAATAGTGGGTGGGGTGGAGGCTGTGCAGTTCTGCAACATAGCCTCAGAGTCAGTGGCCAGAGACCCTGGGTTTTCTTCCCCCAAAGAAGCTGATACCTGCATTTGCTGATACCTGAATGCAGGTATCAGGTGCGAGGCAGGAAACCTCACAGTTCTAAAATACTACATCTAATTTAAAACACAAATCACCAGCACCATAACAGGAAAAGCCCGCCAAACAAGGTACATCTGTGCAAGCGGAGGTCTAAGCGCTGCGACTTCTTGGTTGATTACTAGGAACGTTACAAAATTGTAGGGATCAGCATGCTGAAGTATGGTGTTCAGTAAGTAACTTAAGAGCCACATTTTAATTGCTCTATGGCTGGGAGAAGTTTTTGTTTTTGTTTTCTAGAGACAGGGTCTCACTCTGTTGTCCAGGCTGAAATGCAGTGGCGCAATCACAGCTCATTGCAACCTCGAACTCCTGGGCTCAAGCGATCCTCCCACCTCAACCTCCTGAGTAGCTGTGACTACCGGTGCGTGCCTCCACACCTGGCTAATTTTTTTCTTATTACTGTTTAGAGATGGGGAGATCTTCCTATGTTGGCCAAGCTGATCTCCACCTCCTGGCTTCAAGAAATCCTCCTGCCTCAGCCTCCCATGTCACTGGGATTACAGGTGTGAGCCACCACACCCAGCTCAGGCTGGAAATTTCGATATGGGTGGAGACGAACAGAGAAGCCTTGCCCATCTTTGCTTTTTCTCCCCAAGGTTTCTCACTGGCTCTTGAGGGTGGGAACCCTGGTCGGGTTGTGCAGCCTGGAGCCCCTTCCCTGGCCACAAGCCCACCTCCCCTCCTCCATTCCCACACCCCCCAGGCCAAAACTGTCCTGCAAACTCTTCCTTTAAAAAGAGTGATAGCGTCACCTTTGAGTATCAGATCAGGTAAAACCGTATCTAAAATTCCAACAACCCAGGGAAAAACACACAATAATGAGACTTCACGAGCTGGAGATGACCTAACAGGGCTCCTATTTTCCGAAACAAAATTTGGGCCATGCTGAGTGACAAACAGGACGCAGGGCTGTAAACCCGCACGTTTCGAAGGATCTGAGAACCAGCAGGGTAACGAATGACTGGGGCAGAACTGGGAGCGTCCCGGCATCTACAGGTCACGCTTTACCTTAAACGCTGTCTGGGTTTGATCACAGGTAACACTTCAAGCAAAACATTAGGAGTCAATATTTCAAATTTTTAATCATAAAAAGAAAACCATACATCCGTGCACATGGCTATATTATTTTCTCCCTTTGTAGAAAGTTTCCCTCCTCTAAGATCCCTATCTCTAAGCACTGCTAACAATTTCTTTTATGGTCCTTGAAAAGTTGAGCAATGTAATCTTAATAATATCACCACAGAGTAATATTCTAAATTTGGAGACGTTGGAAGAGGAGGGTAAAGGGAAGCGGGAGGGAGGATGACGCTGAGTAGGAGCAAGGCCAGGAGGCCAACTTACCACAGGGCTGGCCCGGGCCGAGCTGGCCCTGGAGGAGGCGCGGGAGCTGGAGTTGAGGTGGCCGCTGTACTCCGAGGGCTGCCCACACAGCCGCCGTCAGGACACGCAGCCAGAAACAAAGGAACAGGGTCAGCAAAGGAGCAAGGAGAACAGAGGCCGACAGAAAACATGCTGCAGTGAGTGGCGGAGGTTAGCCACGCACGGCAAGGAAAAGAGAGTTAGGGTTAGACAGCAAACGCATATTCAAATCAGTGCTTGCTAATAAAAAAAACAAATCACATTATCAGAGGAACACAATTTCTCACAGTTAGGAAGAAGAAAATAACACAAAGCACCCATTCAACAGGGTGTGCAGTCGCACCCAGTGGAGACACAGAAAGTCACCTCGTGGATGTGGAAATGACTGTTTTGAGAACTTAAGCTGCCGTCCGGCACAGAAACTGAAGACTCGGACAGGGTGCTTGGCGCTTTAGCAAGGGAACATTTTTGCTTCTCCACCATCTTTCCAAGTGGAAGCAAAATGAGATTTAGGGTTAACACAAAATTATGTATGGCTTTTTAAATTGCCAGATTACCTTCTACCTGAGTGGTTGCTATGTACGTATCTATCCATTTACCTGAACTTTCTCACTTCTGGTGAAGGAACATACCAGCACCTCCACTATCTGGAAGCCACGCCCTTGTAACTTTGATTTATAGTCACATCTGCTGGTCTTAGATACATTTTCACGTTCTCATAAACACTCTCATATTCTTCTTGAGCAAGGCATGGAGGGGCGGGGGCAGGATTTGAACACTATTTAGGTTCTGACACGCCCGGAGGAGACCTTCAAGACAGACCCATGCAGCACCCTACAGCGAGCCCCACCACTGCTGAAGTCCCCTCCACTCCAGCCCCTGGACACCCTGCACTGTGCCGGGCACAGACCCCTCTGCTGGCCTCACAGGCTCTGCTGGGGACCTGCAGGGAGTGCCCTGCTTGCGAATTGTAAGGAAGCCCAGATCTTCAGGGGTGCTCATGATCTCATCTCAAATACCACCTCTTAAGTTTGTTTCCTCACCAGGGCTAGTGATCAGATGAGGCCTGGCAAACTCAAGAAATACTTGTTGAATGAACGAATGATTTTAACTGTAGACTAAAATAACCATCAAATGTCAGTTGAAAGCATTAAATGTTGTACAGGGCTGTGGTCAAGATGGGCAAGTTCCCCAGACCCATCCACCTCTATTTTATTTGATACATGTTTACTATATACTTACACTTACGTGCAAGATGTTGCTTAAGATACACAGATAATACTGCTGTGTTCACACCACATGTACAGCATCGATGCCATATTCAAGATATTCAAGAAAATTGCCAAAGTAAGAAAGAACAAAGTAAAGCTCTGTTATCGCCATGGTCCACGTGCGTCTTATGTTTAGGAGTTACGTGGCTACCGTGCAGCTAATGCAAGTCAGAAAGCTTTAAGTCTGAATCACAGCTCCATCTCTTCTTGGCCACATGGCTGTGGAAGTTCCTTAGCCCGTCATCTGTGACATGGAAGTAAGGACGTGGGCCACACGGAGGAGCTGAGGACTACATCAAATGTCAGTTGAAAGCATTAAATGTTGTACAGGGCTGTGGTCAAGATGGGCAAGTTCCCCAGACCTATCCACCTCTCATTTTATTTGATACATGTTTACTATATACTTACACTTACGTGCAAGATGTTGCTTAAGATACACAGATAATACTGCTGTGTTCAGTGCTGTTCCTTCACATGTACAGCATCGATGCCATATTCAAGACATTCAAGAAAATCAAGCCAAAGTGAAGAAAGAACAAAGTAAAGCTCTGTTATCGCCATGGTCCACGTAAGGTCTTATGTTTAGGAGTTACGTGGCTACCGTGCAGCTAATGCAAGTCAGAAAGCTTTAAGTCTGAATCACAGCTCCATCTCTCTTGGCCATGCTGGCTGTGAAGTTCCTTAGTCTGTCATCTGTGACATGGAAGTAAGGACGTGCAAAGGCTACACGGAGGAGCTGAGACTAGGAAGTGACATGGAAGTAAAGGACGCGGGCCACGTGAGGAGCTGAGGATCAGGAAGGACATGGAAGTAAGGACGTGGCCACGCGGAGGAGCTGAGGACCAGGAAGTGCCATGGAAGTAAGGATGGACATGGAGGAGCTGGGAGGACTAGGAAGTGACAGATGGAAGTAAGGACGTGGGTCGCGGAGGAGCTGAGGGACTCAGGAAGTGACATGGAAGTAAGGACGTGGGCCACGTTGAGGAGCTGAGGACTCAGGAAGTGACATGGAAGTAAGGACGTGGGTCACGCCGGGAGGAGCTGAGGATCAGGAAGTGACATGGAAGTAAGGACGTGGGTCACGCGGAGGAGCTGGAGGAATTGTGGGAAGTGACATGGAAGCAAGGACGGGGTCACGCGGAGGAGCTGAGGACTAGGAAGTGACATGGAAGTAAGGACGCGGGTCACGCGGAGGAGCTGAGGACTAGGAAAGGGGGTACATGTTGGGCTTCTTCTGTTTCCACTTTCTGCCAGAAACAACTTCCTCGGCTCCTGGATCAGATGATGCCACTGGTGATGACTGTGTCCCAGCTTTGTCACAACACTGAAGAGAGTCACTTCACACTCAGGAGCTGCACGGGGGCAATTCCTGGTCCTCCAGGGGCAGGGCAAGTCCTCCAGAGTAGGACCAGGGCTGTCTGTGCAGGCCTGGGGGCAGCCTGGACCCTGAGGTCATGACCACTTGGGGCTGGGACCTCAGGCCTGGGCGCCGGGGCCACTCTGGACACCATCCTGGGCCGCAACCTCCCTACATGCTAGACTGAGAGCAGGAGTGGCTCTCTCCCAAGGCCCTCCTGTAAACATAAGGAATGGAGTATCCACTTGGAGGGGAACTGTGAGGGTTCCAGGGAAAAGATGGGAGACGTTGGGAGCTCAGGAACTTCCTTGCCCCTTCCCTCTTCCTCACGATGCTAATTTGCTACCCACAGCAGAGCTGACCATCCCTATTTTTGGCAGTTCTGCTGCCAGGACAAGATGACCTTCTGTTTTCTTAACTCTCTAAGGCCATCACTCCCAGGCAATTCTTGTGGGGCTAAAAGCACAGAAATCACTGCTCGCCAAAGAGCAATAAGGGCCAAGGACCTAGGGCTGACGACTCACTGGGGCTGGTGGCGTAGTAGCATCTAGAAAGCATCAGGAGCCCTCTGTCCTGCCAGATCTTACAGTCCCTACTTAGGATGCCAGAAAACCAGCTGGTGCTTGGGGGAAATTTCTCTTGAATTAGTATGCTCCCTCTTTTCTGATAAAAGAAAATCATTTAGTTGTGCTTTATCCATCACATCACAGGCAGGACTATTTCATTCTTCACGCATGGTTTATGAGCTTTCTAATGGCCTATGAAAATGTTTACCAACTGGGAAACATATGTTGTATAGTGCGCTGCAAAATACTGAACAACTTATGCAATATAAAAATTGATAAATGTGTAATTAGTTGTCGACAAAAACGAATGCTATGTCAACTACTGGATTTAAGATTCATAAATTACACTTTAAAGAAAACTGTAGGTTAGACTGGCTTACATCGTAAGAATTCATGAATATTCATGATGGCTGGACCAAATGGCACAGTAAGTCATAAAACTGGATTTAGCCAAGTAAGTAGCTGATTAACTTCAAAAGCAAAATTATAAAAGCATTTCAAGTATTTCTTAGTAAATAATTCTATTTCCTGGAAGCTTGAAGCCATTTTTATAGGATTGGGGAGGAGCCTCTGAATACAGGTGCATCCACCGCCAGGGAGCACCGATTAGCACTGAAGGCTCCCTTTCCACGGGTCCCTGGGACATGCAAATTCGTCTCCCCACTTCCACACATTCCATCTCATTTTTCTGCCTTGTCGCTTCTCTCATTCATTCATTCACAAATGTTTATTGTGCACCTACGACATTTTTACTCTCATAGCTGAGCCTATCATTTCAAATCGAAGAAAGAGGTAGAGAGACAACAAAATAAAAACAGGGAATGAAATATGCGTAACAGTCCAACTTTTAAAATTTGTTCCTCTTCCTCAACTATTCAGAGACGAAAATGATGTGTGGCCTGCCAAATTGCCCTTTTTCTGTTTGTATTAATTTAAGATGATTTCACGACCTGTTAGTATTGTTGGCGTGCTGCAAAGAGAGCAGATGAAACTCAGTGCAAGTGAGTCTCCCTAATGAGTGAGGACATGAAACCAACAACCAGAGGTTTCCCGATTCACATTATTCGTGACCTTCACTATAATGGAAGGTGGTGGTGAGCCCAGTGACTCGGTGCTTCCTCCTGAGGATGGCCAGTCACCCCCCTGCCCGGCGAGCATCCCCAGGTCATGCAGCAGGCAGGGGGGAAAGGCGGTATCACCCAAAGCGCCTTACAGCACGGGAGCCACTGGTGCTGCCCCGTCGGGCCCCACCGAAGCTGCCTTCATCCAACACAGACGCCTGCGACCAAAAGAGACTGTCAGGATGGGTACTCTTCCTTTCTCCGAGTGCCCAGTAAGTACTGAAAACGTAAGCTGTGGAAAACTGACACGTGCCAGGAGCATGACCTGAAACGCATGCAGGGGAGGCCCAGAACCACCTTTCCGGCTCTTCAAAGGGTTGCAGAGTGCGACAAGGAAACCAGGAGAGACAGGTCTTAGTTGCTGTCAAGCGGCGTGCAATTTAATCTCCAACAGACCATTTAAATCTATTATTTTGAAAAACATCCCAGGCCTAAGTAAAAACTTGTTAATCCAGGTTAAAACGAGCAGATAATTCTCACATCCTGAATTCTGTCATGGCACTCTCATACTTAATGTTTAGAAAATTACTTTTATGTGAAGTGACTTTGGGATAAAATATCAAATAATGTTAATTACAGTTTTAATGTTAAATATTTTATAACCCTTTAAAAGTTGCTAAGTAGAAGAAAGAGTAATTGGTTAACTGGAAAATGCTACTTAATTAATCAATGTGGGTAAACAGGAGCTGACACTGCCACAAATAGTGATGTCAAACTTTGCCCGGTGTAAAGGAACTTTAATTTCCCTATTTTCCCCTAAGGACATACTAGTTTGCTCAGTCACTTATTAATATATCTAACACATAAGTATGTAATCTGATGGAAATTCAGAAAGTTATTAATGGCTGGGTGCGGTGGCTCATACTTGTAATCCTAGCACTTTGGGAGGCCAAGGCAGGCAGATCAACTGAGGTTGGGAGTTTGAGACCAGCCTGGCCAACATGGTTAAACCCATCTCTACTAAAAATACAAAAATTAACCGGGCGTGGTGGCACGTGCCTGTAATCCCAGTTACCTGGGAGGCTGAGGCAGGAGACTCACTTGAACCTGGGAGGTGGAGGCTGCACTGAGCCTAGATCATGCCATTGCACTCCAGCCTGGGTGACAGAGGGAGACTCTGTCTCAAAAAAAAAAAAAAAGCTATTAAGACAATATGGGTACTTTGAGTATTTATTTACATTTTTTGCATAGCATAAGTACTTATATTTAAAACTGGAAATTTCCAAAGTAATAGAGTAACATGGATTAGTATCTGTCCAGGTTACCAAAGCATTAAAAAGCCACCATTCTTTCCGCCACCAGGTAAAGTAAACATTGCTGTTGTTCCATTCCTAACAATCCCAGCAAACACAAGGCTTCCTGGAGATGGAGCAGTGTGGCAGCTGCAGTCAGCAATCGGGGGAGAGAAAACCCAGATCCGGCCAAAGGGGACAGACATTCCCCACAGCCACATGTAAACTCCACGTGAAGGTGCAACTTCCCCCAGGGGGCTGGAAACAGGCACATCCACAGCTCTGGGCTTGGTGGGGGCGGTGCATGCACAGTGGGAGTGGGTGCGGAGAAGCAGAGCGGGCAGCACACGCACCCGGTAACTTCCCGAAGGCCGGGCAGCGCTGTACAGACAGGAGGGCTGGAGGATGAAAGCAAATGGCAGGTTTTAAAAGCCTTGAAAAAACAGCAACAAATGACAGTGAAAGGCCATCACGATAGTTTCAAATGACACGATAGTTTCAGCATTCACCACAGCCAACTGCTGGACAAACCGATCAAGGCACTGTGTTTTCTGTAAATTTGACAGATGCAAATCCAAAATTTACAAGAAAGATAAGTGAGATGATTTTTAACTTTGAAACAGTAAATTTCCCAGCATCTTTAAAAACAAGATCATTTCTAGTCATTTCAGGCATTCCTGGAAGAAAGAGTCAGGGGATGAGACAGAATGGTGACAAGGTCAACACACTGACAGCAACAAAACCCACAGCTCAAATCCAAGGTTAACGACACACTTGGCAGTATTCAGCGCGCAGATGTCCACATGTGAAGACAGGGCAGGGAAAGTCTTTATTTCTATGCGAGGGGCCCAGTGACCGTACGCAAAGGGAGTCGCTGCAAGGCTGCCTCAGCCGGTGTGGGAGGCACCCCCAGAGGGGCCGCAGTCTATCCCTGTCAAAGGAGAATCCCGCCTAGCACCCACGTCAGGGGGAGGCAGTGCTGGTGAGGGGACAGGCTGGGACACAAAGGCAGCTCCAGTGTCCTGAGACTGTGCCACGGGACAGAATCCAGACTCATTTCCAGGGCACACTGAGCAAGTCAGGCAAGGTGCACAGCCAGGTGGTGATCACTCAGCAGCTCCGGTCGACATGCAAGGGAGAGGACAGTTCAGCCTCCAAATAGGATGTGTACTTTCATCCCTGACACCGACTTCCTTGGATTAGAATGAGACTCGATACCTATAGCTAACAGGCCGAGCACCTCAGGGCCGGACCTAAACCCCACCTTGTAAAAACAGGAAACAGAGGGGAGACCGAGCCAAAGAAATAACACTGTTCTGTCCACTTCTCAGAGACCAAGGAGGCAGATTATACACAAAAACCTTCCAAATTGCTTCCTGGACACATTTACAAGAGAAAAAATATTTAAAAAAAAAAAAAACAAATGAAAGCCCAAATGGGGAACAATTGCTGGAAAAGGAGGAGAGACCCAAGAGACCAATTTTTTGGACTCGAGTTTTTGAAAATACGCATTTAATAAAACCCTCCTTTTCCTTAAGTCTCCTTTTCTATATTAGGTTCTCAACTATTTGACAAGCATTTTTCTAAAAGATTGACAAAAGTCTTAGCAAACTAGTCAAGCCAATTAAAACAGTTGCTAAGCTTTGCTCTTGTGACTTTGTGTAGGGGAGGCTGAAGGATCCACTAAATGTAATCAGCAATTAAAGTGATGCACAGAAGGAAAGGGAAGGAGCGACAAAGTGATGTAAAAAGGAGACAGACCCAGTTTCCATTTGGGGCAGAGAGGGGTGTGGGAGCTAAGCCACCACCGGGAAGCCCAAGGTTGGAGCCGGAGAGTCCCTGTAATCAGAGCAAATGGGCAGCAGAGAGGGGAGAGAGGCTCACACCCTCACGGCATTGCAAAGGTACATCAGTCCAGCGACCTTATACAACCAAAACAGTAACGGGCATGCACTCACGGGGGAGGAAGAGAATGAGGGTCGGAAGGAAATAAAGACAGCTGGGCCAGGCAACTGACAAAACTAGGAGATTGGGCCAAATTAGGACTTCTGAGTTTATACACAGAAAAAAAGATTTAATTCACATTAAATACTGAAATAAATTTTAATTGATGTTAGGAAGAGTCATCAATACTACATTCTATGCTGATACCTTTCCATTATCATATTTAAATAAAATTGAATGTACCACCTACTGGGCAGGAATAGATGTCTACAGAGCGCAATTCCCAGAAAGGTTCTGAGGGCTGGTGGGGAGGGTGAACCCAAGAGCCCTCAGGCAGCAAATGATGGGCACCCAGGGCTCAGGGAGTTCTGATGCGGCCCTGTTCGAATGAGTCGGCTCTCATTCTGACGTTTAACCCTTTGGATGTGGGTTATTTCTCTTAAATGGATTGAAGTGGGTCAGATGCAGGCTGAACTTGGGTGAATCGTTCATATCCAAGGATGAGATATTTATTGCCATCTTTATTTTAGAGCAAGTAACTCAGCTTATCAAAAACGAGTTGGAAATAAAGTTTTCTTAATGACTAAGTGCCTTGAAAAAGGCTTTGGGCATTTTCTTAATTCAAGGGGAGATTTTGCTGTTGCAGAGAGCACTTAGTCCTTAAGTCTGATTTCAGCGGGGGAGCTGCTCCTGTGGTCACCAGGTCCACAGAATGGCCCCAACAGCATCCTGGGCTCAGTCACGTGGCGCCTCTCCTGGGTTCTCACCATTCTGCACAGCCTCCGCTCTGCTCAAATGGCTACTCACCTAGAAGAGCTTCCCCTCTAGGCTCTGCCTGGTTAGTTCCTATTCTTTTCATTTGATTGATCGATCGATCGATCTATCTATCTATCTATCTTATTTATTTGTTTGTTTGTTTGAGATGGAGTCTCGCTCTGTTGCCCAGGCTGGAGTGCAGTAGTGCAATCTCGGCTCACTGCAACCTCTGCTTCCTGGGTTCAAGCGATTCTCCTGCCTCAGCCTCCTGAGTAACTGGGACTACAGGCACATGCCACCATGCCCAGCTAACTTTTTGTATCTTTAGTAGAGATGGGGTTTCACTGTGTTAGCCAGGATGGTCTCGATCTCCTGACCTCATGGTCTGCCCACCTGGGTCTCCCGAAGTGCTGGGATTACAGGCATGAGCCACCACACTCGGCTCTTCCTATTTATTAAGGTTCGGTTCACATCCTTTGTTGTGACATTTCCTGGCAAAACCAGAGTCTCCCTCTCATTCTATTTACTCATCTGTTCACTACTGTACAGGTCTCCGGTGCCGGTGGCTTCTGTTCTAGATGTCAGTGCCCAGAGAGCACCCACCTCCCCCGCTTATCTTTGTGATGATCCCAGGCCTGCTCGATTTTCCTACCTAAACTGTCCCAATTTACTGAGTAAATCTGAACCTAAACAAACACCAATAAGCCTCAGCAATTTTAGGGCTCTTAAACAATGTAGAAATTATGTTTATCAAGACCGATGCATGTTTGTAGAGAATGGGAAGGAACTCTGTTGTGTAAACATGTGGATTTGGATGAGACTCTGGATTTTCCTTCCAAGTCGAGTCCATGCCCAAGAAACCACCAAAAAGTTTGCATGTACTCTTCAAAGTAGTTCTGTTTTCAGAAACTCAAGAATTCAAGAGCATTCTTCTTATTATTTTTTTTCCTTTTGATTAATTCTAATTAGAAAATATACACAAAAACACGTCCTTTCATTGCAGCCAGCTGAATGCCACAATTCACATTGGAGCTGGCGTGGTCAAACGCAGCACACTGGAGTGCATCTGAATGAAGGAGCTCATGTTAACTACTGCTTTTCACGTCAATAACGCAGCTACCCAAACAAAAATCCGTCAGACAGACACTGAAAGAGAAAAGTAGCGCTGAATCCACACACACAAGATTGCATGCTACAAAACCTGCGGTTTCTGAAGGGAGGATGTGAAAGATTTAAATGGAAACCCACCAACTTCTCCTCCCTGGATGATGACAAAGTAGAGAATCTGCTGTCACCGCTGTAGCTGGAATTCTGAGCACCAAAGAAGAAAACATGTTTCAGTGACAAGCACTTCCTTATGACTCCAAAGCGCCCCCATCCCATTCAAAAGGCAAACATGAAACCGCACAACCGAGCCAATACTAGGAGCCCAGGAATGCTAGTTTATCTAAAGACGCGAGGCACAAACAGTACAGCAGAGATTCTGAACAACTAGAGATTCTAAGCTGTATTTTCTATTTCACTGTTTATACCTTGGTGACGCCAGGGGTGTATCTAGAACTGCTTTTCGCAATCTCACATCTTCTAGCACGATTCGTGACTACTGAGTTTCACACTGTGTTGTCAGTAAACTCCTAGTCTGAATTATCCTTGTTACTTATCTCCTTAGGTAACTAAAATTCCATTTATTGCAAAATTTTCAATCTTTCTTCAGCTCAGCCCACCTGCGGGCTATAGCTCAGCCCTGCGGTGCCAGAAAGGTGGGTGGAGTATGACAGCCTGCTGCCACCTGTCCACTGGAGAGCCCTTATCCACACAGGGAAAATGTCCTGCAGGCCGTCTTTACATGTCTTGAGTATACATTTTAAAAATGTCACATCCAGCTGGGTGCAGTGGCTCACGCCTGTAATCCCAGCACTTTGGGAGGCCGAGGTGGGTGATCACCTGAGGTCAGGAGTTCGAGACCAGCCTGGCCAGCAGGGCGAAACCCGGTCTCTACTAAAAAATACAAAAAAATTAGCTGGGCGTGGTAGTGGGTGCCTGTAATCCAAGCTACTTGGGAGGATGAGGCAGGAGAATCGCTTGCACCCGGGAGGCAGAGATTGCAGTGAGCTGAGATCACACCATTGTACTCCAGCCTAGGTGACAGAGCAAGACTCTGTCTCAAAAAATAAATAAATATTAAAGTGCATGCAATGCCAAATAGGTAAATAGGAACAATAAAATAAAAACAACTTGATCAGTTGGTTTCAGAAAGCTAAAGACTGGTTTGGTCAGGGAGAGGGAAGAAGGTAAGGGTAGGTCACTCATTTGAAGCCCAGAAGTATAATTTAAGTATATACATGATATCTTAATGTAACATAATTAAGATAAATGAAAAGAAATATTATTTTACACAATTAGGAATATTACTAAAAGAAAAAAAAATGAAGCAAAGGAACAGGAAATTTTTAGGCCATTTAACATGGAATGGACCTGTGGGATATTGTGAAGCTTGATGGAAATGTATCCAGTGCAACCTTTTAAAATCCCCAATGACCTCCTGTCCTTGATAATCCAAAGCCCTCCCCACCCCTGTCCGGCCTCCCTAATGCCCCTGCCACTGGCACCACTCCCTCTCTCTCCCCCTAGAGCATCACCCTTTCCTTCCACCAGCTCTTCCTGCCTCCCACCCCTTAACTGGGAGCCTTCCAAGCATCTGCATTGTTTTCTTCTCCTTTTCCTCTCCAGAAAAACACAGGTTCTTGTACACATGCCTTTAAGGCAAACATTAAAATTACAAGTGACAGATGTGGAGACTGCAAAAATGTTGGATTTAATATCTTTGAAAGCTGAATACACTTAATACACATATTATATACATACACCCAGGGGAATACAGTAATGAAAGAGCTAATCTTTAATTTCAGATCTTTTTAAACTTGAGGTTCTTATCAATATCTACCCCTTATACTAACAACCAGAATGGTGGAGGGCTAACATTCTCAGAATGTTTGCTAGTTGAAAAACATTATCTTTCATTCCATCATGTGCTAGGAAAAAAAAGACAGACCCATTTTAACATTTAAAAACAGCAAAGAAGCTAAATTTAAATTTAGGAATTAGTTTTTAGTTCTAGAAGCTTTGAAACAACCTATTTGAATTTTGAGCCATGCAAATTTACTATACTAACCCTGCCAGATCTTCTATTCAGGGACTGTGATCCATACAATTCTCCATCATAACCATTTGTCTGTTTCAATGAAGAAAAGAGAAAAACTGACATCAGTACACAAATGAATTCACAGGTACAAATCAGCAGGGACGAACCAGCCAGGTATAAGGTGAGCTTACTTGGTAGAGCGGGTGAATGACCAGCCCGGGACTGTACAAGTCCTAGCAGCTCCCAAACTGCATCCCTGACCCCGTCCACTCCCCCACAGCTCAGGAGAGAACAGCAGTCAAGCTAACCAGTTCAGTAGGCTTCCCGTCGCATGTCACTCTTAGTCTTAAAGCAGCACCAAGTCCCTCTGCGGGGTGGAACATTTGGGCTTGGCGTGGCTGTTTCCTTGTCAGGCTCTGTTTCTGATTTTATGGTGGCGCTGTGGACATTCTGCTAGCAAGTCGCCACATGCCAGGCCGATGGGTAGTGATTCGGTCTGAGTCAGTGAGTTTTCAATTCCTGGTTCAGGGAGGGTCTTTGAAAATTATGGCACATTGTGATGCTCTGGGCCATAATTCAGAAGATTCAGAAATCATTTCTTTTTTTTTTTTGAGATGGACTCTCACTCTGTCGCCCAGGCTGGAGTGCAGTAACACGATCTTGGCTTACTGCAATCTCTGCCTCCCTGGTTCAAGCGATTCTCCTGCCTAAGCCTCCTGAGTAGCTGGGATTACAGGCGTGCGTCACCACGTTTGGCTAATTTTTGTATTTTTAGTAGAGAAGTGGTTTCATCATGTTGGTCAGGCTGGTCTCGAACTCCTGACCTCATAATCTGCCCGCCTTGGCCTCCCAAAGTGCTGGGATTACAGGCATGAGCCACCGCGCCCAGCCTCAGAAATCATTTCTAGTCAATCTATGGTGAAATGCAAAAGTTCATCGTGGGGTATAGCCTCTATACTAGTTTTTCATTCATCCAGCCCTCCCACTTTATTTTTCAAAATGAAATCTGAACACATATTTAATACTTTCATAATGTGTCCTCCAGAATAAAGGAGAACGATTCTATTAAGTGGATGCCTATCATCCCTCTCTTCTCAGTTCCCAGCCCAGGTTCCCTTAAGTCAAAGCAAGGGCTTTCTAAACGCCCCTTAATTCATCTATAAGGAAATTTCTGCCGATTCAAAATAAGAACTGTCAAACATCAGAGACGAAACCAGCTCTCGGGACAGAAAAAGGAGGAGCAGTCTACACAACTGGTAAAAATGGAAGGAGACGCCATCAGGTTCTGGGCATGAGGCCAAATTCCAGACAGAAGTTCTGTCATGTGACCTTAAGTAATTATTTAATCCACTCGAACATCCGCTTTCTCAGCCGTGAAAATGTGCATAATAATAAATACATTACAAAGCCATCGTGAGGATTAAACGAGATGAAAATGAGTATCTCAAGCACCTAGAACAGTGCTCTCATGAAGCATGTGCTGACTGGGCGGATACCTGAATATACATGGAAGGGGCCCAGCACGTGGGAAGTGCTCAACGTGGTTCCTTATTCAGGGGATGGGTGCTGCATAGCACATGTTTTCCAGCCATGACATTAAAGAAAAAAAAAATTGAATTTCCAAACATTATAAATCCAGATTCATGAAACTTTGACTATCAAACTATATATTTATCTTTGCTATAACTCAAAACAAATCAAGAAATCAATTTGAAGTTTGGAAACAAAAGAAGTGTAGAAATCCTTCCACATTAAATTTGAGAACTCTATGAGTAACATTAAAACATTTCTGAAATAAATTAATAGTAAAAATCTTTGGAGGTTGGCAAGAGTTTTACTCAGACTAATTTCCTCTCATGTCTTCAGCAACAAGATTATTTGACATGAAAATGCATGTCAAGGACTTGCAAATTGTAGATCTCAATCCCTTGTTCTCTCTTCAGAAACTAGATTCCAGAAGAAATTAGGATAACAATGAAGGCTAACATTAATCAATTTCAGATGACTTTGACTTTACCAATAAATGAGGAAGGGAAATGTATGACATAAGCAAGGCCTCTGGCTCTCCACTGCTGCTTACGAAACACACAGCGCTGCAGAGGAACCCTGACCTTTGCACTGCAGTTCTCCAGCTCAGCATGCAGCGATGGAGCAGAAGGTGGGCAAGCCGGAAGCACGACAGTATCCTCTCATGTGTCACCTTTCCACTTACAGGCTTCCACGAAAACCCGGGAAAAACTGTTACTTTGCAGGAAAGCCTGCAAAGCAGTTTCCACGACCACGTCTGTGGTAATGGAATTCTATCATAAGGAATCTATTCCTGGGCTGTATTCCTTGAATGTATTCCCAAATCTATAGGAACTTGTTAACTATATCTCCATAGGGAGAAGAACTTGGACCTTCTTGCTAACTTGCTCCTCCTGGATGGTGTTTTTGGTGCTGTATTTAGATGGGTGGGGCTATTTTTACATGGCATAAAAGGGCAAGGGGCATTGACAGTTAATTGAACGACAGTAGAACAAAAAGCCCACAGACAGCACATTAACTTCAACTGAAGTTGGGTCTCTGATGTTCAACCAGCTTTGCTCTATTGTACTGTGTGGCTTTAAGCGGTACATAAGCTTGTTCACTTTGCTGGTTCCATGCTCCAAGACTGGGTCTCAGAGGGGAGTCCGCAGACCACCTGCTTCCTGGTCACCTGGCATGCTTCTTACAAGCAAGGGCCCCTGCCTAGGGAATCAGGATACTTAGAGAAAGGGCTCAGGAACATGCATTCTAACAAGCTCTCCAGAAACACTGCCATAAGAGAGAACAAAATAAAGAGGACATACATAAATTAGTATTTTCTAATACAGGATAAATAAGATACAAGGGCAAACGCCCTATGAAAACGGTAACTTGTGACTAGTCCGAATGCTAATGACTACCACGCAGTGTTATCAAAGCGTCTGTCACCTTCCCATTGGACCATGCAAAAGTCCCCTGCCAGCTTTTTGGATTAATAATGTTAGATGTCCTTTCTCCACGAGTCAAAAGACAGAGCACATGTAAAGGGCATTAGAGATGGAAAACAAACAAGGAAGGCAACGTCAAAACTCTTGAGTTTGATCCCTGATGCATTCTACTGAATTTTTAAAAAGAACACCGAAAAAGAAATCCAAAATGTGTTCCTGACCATTGCTAACACATATATTTATCCCACTGGGGGTTAGCTCTTAAATAAAATTAACTTTGAATTTAACATAAAAAGAGTAATAATCTAGATTTACGTTGCTAATACATTGAATTCCTTAAAGAACAGGAGAGTTGCTGGAGGTACAGTGTCACGGAAATGCTCTCACCTGCCAGAGTGACTTGAAGTGCTCTGTAGGTAACAGATACTCTGTGAAGAGCACTTTCTGAATCTAATGACCTGTCTTTGTGCTTTCCCCTGTCCTGATCCCCAAGCTACTCACTCCAGCCTGCATCTGTTAAGAGCAGAATAGCCGCCCCACAGGAGGCTCAGGGCACCAAATATGCTATGCAGATGTATGCTACAATTTATTCATTATAATTGCAAACACAAAAATAATTTTTTTTTTTTTTTTTTTTTTTTGAGAAGGAGTCTTGCCTAGAGTGCAGTGGCACAATCTTGGCTCACTGCAAGCTCCGCCTCCCGGGTTCATGCCATTCTCCTGACTCAGCCTCCTGAGTAGCTGGGAGTACAGGCGCCCGCCACCATGCCGAGCTAATTTTTTTTGTATTTTTAGTAGAGACGGGGTTTCACCGTGTTAGCCAGGATGGTCTCGATCTCCTAACCTTGTGATCTGCCCACCTCGGCCTCCCAAAGTGCTGGGATTACAGGCGTGAGCCACTGTACCTGGCCAAAAATACATTTTTAAAACAGGAATTTACTAAACAATTTTGAAATGCACTGGAACAAATGAAGCACAAAATGCTTCTGGGTAAAGTCCTTCAGGTGAAATAGTACATAATACGCTATAATAACTTTAGTATCAAATCACTTTAATGCTGAGGTGTGCTTTCTGGGGAGAACTTTTTCTTCCTTGAAGTATAACACTGACAGACTTTTAGAAAGCATAAGGCACAGAAACTGTCAGATACATATAAGAAGGAGTAATTCTGAGTTTAAAAGTCTAAAGCCTTAGTTTTTGTTACTGGAAGTAGGAGCTTTCTCAGAGAATATTTCCTGGCAAAAAAGTCAGATTGTACATTTAATTTGAATGGATATAGATTGGAAAATAATGGATTTTTCATTAGGTAAAATGACTTTACATTTAATCTTTTAAAGGAAATTTAGAAGCTTTGGGAATTCTTGATCTGATTTGAGTTCCTTGAAGGCAGACACTATCTTTTTCATCTTGGTATACACAGCTGCTAACACAAGGCATGGCAAACAGCTGGTGCTCAAAGGCCATCTGGTGAGGGAGCGTTCATGCACAGATGCCTGGGCTCCTCCCCTCCGACAGGCTCAGGGCTGCACCCTGGAGGCCCCAGGAGGAAGACTGCTCACTCCGAAGGGTAAGCCTGCCCTCCTGGCCTCACAGCCCCCCAAAAACTGGAGACAAAGATGTACTTGGTTTTTTAGAAAAGCACCCATGAGATTCGTGGAAATAGCATAGGTTATTATATGTCACACCACAGTTAACATCACACAGCAAAGTATATCCGACCATCTCACCCAGGCGTAGGGACCCCCATACTCCAAGTCAGGCTGCAACTGTCAGAAGAAAGATAGCAGAAAAAAAAAAACAACAACAGAAAAGAGAGTTGCCAAAAGTAAATTTAAAAGCTAAGCAAAACATAAATACAAGCGATCTTTAAAATCTTAACAAAAATACATTTTTCCATAATCTCTAGGATCTAATATGTACTTACAAAAAGAATTATGTCAGAATGGTAGCTACCATAGAATCCAGTAGTATTAAATAAACTTCCATGGAAAAGGTTGCTATAATTCAGGAAGTCTGAAACAGTTTGATAAATCTTATTTTTTCTTCTACATAATCCATTTTAATTACATAAGGGAAAAGGTTAACAGATGGATTGTCGTCAGTTTTTCAAAAAGGAAAATTAAAAATCTAGATTTTTCCAGAAAATCTAAAATCTAGAAATTCTAGAAAATCCGAAATCTAGATTTTCTGAGGAGGCATCCATACAAATGCCAGAATAGTATAAATCACCTCCCCACCTTTTTTAGGGTTTATCATCTTTTCTAGTTAAATGAAGAAGGCCTGTGTTTTCAGAGTCAATAAACAAAAGATACGATCTTAGAATCAACAATGTAAAAAGTTCATAATATTAAAATACATAAAAACAGTAGAAACTGACCCTGCATAGAAATAGAGTGAGATGAGAGTCCTCACTCTGGGGAGTGCCCTGCTCGGTGGTACAAAGGGGCAAGCATAGAGCCCAGGGCACCCAGCACATGGAGGGCACGCAGGCCACCAGGCCTCTGAGCAGCAGGCACTGGCCTTGTTCCTAGGAACTGTGACCCCAAGCAGGCCTCTCACCACTCTGGGCTTGTTTGGTGCCTATAGACATTAGGAGGTTTGACTCTCATCTCCAGGATCCAAGTTCTTAAGTTCTGAGGAATCTATTTCTTTAGATCAAGTACATGATGGGAAAGTGTCATGTGACTGAAAATGAAAATCCCATCCACTTCCTCCCCATCTTATGTCCTGTCCTAATGATGAATCTCCCATAGGAAACTTCAGCTCTTAAAACAAATATACTTGATATCTTGGCAAAGAGTGGTATCCAGCAGAAAGATGTAACTTATTTCTGGTTAAAAATCATTGAAAATGAAATGAATGCTGTTACATAACACCATCATACTCGTTCATATTGCAATTGTTTTCAACTCTTCGGGGTCAGGAGACCCTCTGAGAATCTTCAGAAAGTGAACATACTTTTCCCAGGAAAATGTTAAGTGCATACCTCTTGCCTATAATTTCAGGAGGGTGTGGCTCTGAAAATGATGCATTTTGAGAGAGAGTCTGGGACTCTGTGTCTCTTTCCTCCTATTCTCTCTTGAACGCATATTAACCAGGCTTTGCCCTCAACATTTCTGTTAAAAGTTCTCCTGCCAAAGTCACCAACATCCTCTACGCTGCTAAGTCTGAGTTTTCTCCTCTCTTGGTCACTCTCCCTCATCCTTGAAACAGCATTTTCTTCACTGGTTTCAAGGACTCAAGCTTCTCCTGGGCCTGCTCAACAGCTATGATGTCTGGACCTTGTCTACAGACTTTGTTAATTGAGCTTTGTATTTATTATATTTTGGGTTCATAAATCTTCCCTCTTCCTGGGTGAGTGGTGTCAGAGGGTCCTGAGGTTAACAGTTACAACGGCATCCCTGAGGCTACATCTCAGGAGAAGGTTTTAAGCAGCAAGGAAGCCCTCAAGTGGGCCTCACATTTGAACCACAGCTTTTTGGCAAAATCACTACAGATCTGCTTCTGGCACTGCAAGGACAGTGACAAGGGAAGAGTTGCTTCACAGCGCAGCAACCGTGTTTCACCTCTGCAAAATTACAAACACACTGCCAAAATTACACACACACTGCCAAATTACACACACACTGAGCACATGTAAAAGTCAAGGAGTAATAGGATTTACTTGTCACAGTGAAGTAAAACAAGCCTTCAGCTCTATGGGGTCCCTAAGGATTAATAAAACGGAGTGGCTGCTTTGAGACTTATTTATTACTAGTGGTGAGATATAATTTCAATCCTGTGGTAAAAGAAACTGACATGCTCAGATTAATCCACTGACTTAAAGCACTGGGCAAAATATAGTTTTTCTGCTTTACTTCCCCCAAAACTCATACTTTTTTCAAGGGTAATTATTAAGGTTTCTGGAATGTTTAAGGAAAAGTCCATATTTGTGTTGATTGACCATTAAGCCTATCAGAGGTGAAGAGATCTAATTACAACTGATACAAGGAAAAGCGGCTGAAGGCAGATCTTACGGATCCAGTCCTGGTCCAGGTTTTCAGCAGGCTGTCTATAGCAGCTGTGTGAAAACACTGCTCAATAATAATCAACTTACAGCTACTTTAATAGAGGCTCCGATTTTACCAGAAGCGTGTGTGTCAGTGGATAGACTTACTGAAGGGCAGATGCGCCTCTGCATTCCTGTGGAACACCAATGTGCTGAGACCACTGTGCTAATCAAGGCTTGGGAGCTTTGTGATGTGGATTAAGTATTGAAAAAAAGACGACTTCATCTTGGGAGAAAGAAACAACCAACGTGCCTATGCATATTAATTATCTCTCTACAGCAACAAAGAAACATCCCCTACTGATTTGATTTTAAGTAAGCATCTCATCAGTTAAGTATTGACTATCAGACCATGGGGATAATGGAGAAGAAATCAGAATGCAGGGATGAGAAAGGAAAGGGCTTAGACCAGAAACTGTGCCATGCAAACTCCATCATTCTGGTTACTGACCCTCAGGCTTCCACGACTACCCACTGACATGCGCTCGTCTTCATCAGAAGCCTATTAAAAGAAAGGACGAGAACAACCGTGAAGTAATCATACAACATATGTGAAGAACCAGTGCCAAAGTCTTAGGGGGACGCTGGGAACTGACCCCACCCCCAGCAGTGGGGGGGGTCAGCCACCCCTGGACATCTCAGTGGACACCAGTCTAGGTCTCCCACAACAGGGCCTTCGCGGATCTCTGTCTGCTTATGGGCAATATGGATTTCAAGTAATTTCAGGGCCAGGTGCGGTGGCTCACGCCTGTAATCCCAGCACTTTGGGAGGCCAAGGCGGGCAGATCACTTGAGGTCAGGAGTTTGAGACCAGCCTGGCCAACATGGCGAAACCCTGTCTCTACTAAAAATACAAAAATTAGCTGGGTGTCATGGTACATGCCTGTAATCCCAGGTACTCAGGAGGCTGAGGCATGAGAATCACTTGAACCCACAAGGCAGAGGTTGCAGTGAGCCAAGATTGCGCCACTACACTCCAGCCTGGGCAACAGAGCAAGACTCCATCTTAAAAAAAAAAAGTAATTTCAGGGCCAGGCACGGCGGCTCATGCCTGTAATCCCAGCACTTTGGGAGGCTGAGATGGGCAGATCACTTGAGCCCAGGAGTTCAAGACCAGATTGGGCAACATGGGAAAACTCCATCTCTACCAAAAACATAAAAATTAGTCAGGTGTGGTGGCGTGTGCCTGTAATCCCGCTACTTGGGAGGCTGAGACATGAGAATCATTGAATCTGGGAGGTGGAGGTTGCAGTGAGCCAAAATTGCACCAGTGTACTCTAGCCTGGGTGACAGAGCAAGACTCTGTTTCAAAAAAAAAAAAAAAAAGTAATTTCATCCAAGTAGTATTATCTCACCGGTAATATAAATACACAGCATTGGTGTATATTACTATGCAAATTATTTATGGGTATTCAGTGGCACAAAAAGCACTACAGTTGTTATGAATATATTAATACTCAAAAATTTCTCAAACACACTCTCCTTACCAAATTTAGGTCAAAATGCTAAAAGCTGAGTTCATAGTGTTTATTTAGGTAATAATATCAGTATTCCATCATCAATAATGTTAGTTAATTTCTTTAAGAGATGATATCATCATTCAGATATTATATATATTATATATACTTCAGCCACTACAAGTATAAATTAGAATTCAATCAAATTGCCTAAGTAATTAATGAACACGGTACTAACCGATGTGTTTCTTCTGGATCTACGAGAGTAGCGCTCACTGTCTTCCTACCAAAATAATGGAGGAAACAGTATGAAAAGGTTAGAGACAGATGGACACAAGAAAAGTGCTTTAAAAAAGCTTAGGTAGTCCCATTGCAACATAATACAGCAGTTCTGATCTAAATGTCAAATAAATATTTTCTCTTAAAGGCTACAATTAAACCAGTGGGTAAAAATGTTTTTTTCTGGGGTGGGAGGTTCTCAAGCACAAAAATAATTGGGATACTTAATTTTTGTTGTAAAAACAATGTTTGGGCCAGAAGCTGGGCCTTAATTTTTTCTAACCTCTATCATCTGGTCCGTTTAAATCAATCTACTTTTCCCCTTACTTTCAGAACCTTACTCTCTTTAGGAATCAGAAGATAAATCATTTCCACAAAATATCCGAAAAGGATGTCACTCTTTCTATTATACATCGTGGATTGTAAGACACACATGGTTTTTCACACTTAGACATCTCTGAAGCTGGGGTGTATCTTATAATCCAAGTTGTTCAGTTATAATTAGCATTTTTTCTTTCTCAGTAGTATAGAGAACAACGATACAACTTCAAAGAATGTCTTAAGATTTTTTAAATTTTTCTTTTCTTTTTTTCTCTTTCTTATATCACCACGCCTGTGGACAAAAATGTCTTAAGGTTTAACAAAAATACATTTATGTCATGTAAGCCTAAAATGATGGTTTGCCTAGGCTGAATGTAATCATATTTCCAATAGAGTGTGTGCTCTTTATATTTGAAGAGATAACCTCTTTTATACCCAGTATGTAAGATGTTAGGAAATAATTTTGGATTTTCCTCAGATAATTTTATGTATAAGAAACCTTTAATAGGACATTTCTATCCTAACCAGGTTCTCAAATGCTACAAGCATGTGATAAAGTCCACGGGGCCAGGCAATAAAGCAAAAGGGACAGGAAGAGGTGGAAGGACTCAGGTAGATGAACTAACGAGAAGGGCCAGGCCATGCTCACGGGACCAGTGGAAAGCACACAGATTATCCCCCTTCTGCAGCCTCCCTATGTGGGTGCTGCTGCTTCCTGAGAAAGCCAGAAAGACAGGAGTATCATCAGGGCGAGCTAGCTCTCCATTCACAGGATGGCAGAGGGGCTGTTCTAGGAAGCAGGTTGAGAAGGTAAAGGAATTTTCTTACCAAAGACCAGTGGTTTCAGCAGGCACAGCGGACAAGATGAAGAGAGAACCCAACAGCAAATGCAGATAAAGTCTAAATGAGGGTGATGGGGCAGCTGGTCGCAATCATGAGTGAAGGAAATGGAGCATAATGTACCTCTCAGGTTCCAACCAGAGCCTGGTGAGCTGCGATGCCAATGGGAATGTTCTCTGGAAAGTTCTCAAGCCAGGGGCGCATGCCCAGCCTGAGTCCTGGTGGAGGGCCCTGTGCTCAAGGAGATCAGGGTGGCTGTGGTAGTGGAGACCTCCCCAAACCGCTGGCCAGGAGACATCAGCAGTCAGTGGCTACTGAACAGGCAAGACCAGGACTGTTTCTAAGCAGGCTGTATTTGGGGATGTAAACAGAGACCAGATGCAGAAATCCCCGGAAGAAAATCTCTCAGTATTAAATTATGGTGCAATAGGAATCTATCTACATAGTTAAACTACATAAGAATTACATTATAAACCATTTAAGTCTCAACACTGTATTCAAGTGGGGAGGGAAGAGTAAAAACAAAATTATATTCAAGGCCTACCATCCACTGCTCGATGTCACCCCATTTTGTATCCAGCCCATAATATTTCTATAGACAGAAGGGGAAAAAAATTAGGCAAGAAGTGAAATTTCTTAAAAAGGCAGTTGTCTAAGGCATTGTTCCGACATGCATTTCCAAACCGCCGTCCAGCCGTGTGGTGAAGGTAACACACCAAGGCAAAGCAGTCAGCAACACACTTGGCTTCTACGCAGGGAGCCGCCACTCGTGCAGTCATGCAGGCTGTGAGCTGTGAAGAGAGACCCTCCCCACCCACTCCATCCCGGCAAAAGCAAGAGAGCCCAGGACGAAGCTTCCCCCGGACGAAGGGCCTCGGTGGAGAGCAAGACAGTAAAGCCGGCCCAGCAGCCTTCACGCCCCCTCGGACAGGCTACTCATGCCTTCAAAGCAAACACGATGAAGGAATAAAACACCATCTAAGAGAAGCAGAAGCTCAGAGCCATTCCTGTGCTGGGACCTCAGGGAAACTGAGAGAAGAAGGGGAGAAACTGTGTGCTGACACTTGTTCTAGCTGCCTGATGTCTATGCTGAGTCTAGAGAATTCAGACTTTGATGTCTTTGTAGCATAGACAGAGAGATGACTGCTACCCACAGCAGAGGTCTTTGTACAGAAGAAAAATATGCAGACCCACAAGTTACATATGTCTGGAGATGACGTTAGCTCAGGGGTGTCCAATCTTTTGGCTTCCCTGGACCACACTGAAAGAAGAGTCTTGGGCCACACATAAAATACACTAACGATAGCTGATGAGCAAAAAAAAAAAATTTGCAAAAAAAATTTCATAATATTTTTAAAAAGTTTACAAATTTGTATTCAGCTGCACTCACAGCCATCTTGGGCTGCATGTGGCCCGCGGGTTGGACAAGTTTGCTTTAGTTTATACTTCCAAGTTTTTATCCTGTTCAGTGGTCCAAGTTAAAATAAGAAAAGCAGACTCAGAACGGCTACTGCTGTCACTGAATTGGGGAATTCTAAAGGTAGGTGGGAACCCAGGTCATGGGCCCAAATAATGGGGTTTTGCTTTTCTGCTTTTTATTTAATTTCCAGTAAGAAAATCAAGAAACAACTAACCAAACTTCTATATTATAACACAGATGTGAATTTTCTCTTTATACATTAAAATCTGATAATCGAGAAAAAATCAGACGCTAGACATACAAGACCATTTTTGAAATTATTTTACAATAACCAAAACATGCTGTTGCTATGTTTGGTTTAGTTTCATTTCGAAGTGCGGTCAGATTTAAAAACATGCAGTTCTCAGATGGTCTTACCTCTTTCTCTTAGAGATGATGGTAAGTAGAAAATTGGAAGAGCAAAAATTAGGAGGGAGAATTTAAAATGCTTTCAAAAATTCAATAATACTGAACTGTACTATAAAAAGGACATGAGCCCTATCTTTTTCTGTAAGTTATTCCCTTGGAATATAAATTCAGAAAGGAAATAAAAGCAAACATATCCCAAAGTCATGTCTTGTCTTCAGTGTCAGGGAAATGCATCAGCTTAAAGCTATTTTGCATTCAATTAATGTTAGCACCTGTCAAGTTCCAGATTTTTCACAAGTAAAATATGATGCCATCGCTCCTCCCTATCTTGGCTCAACTAGAAAGAGGGAAGCAAAGTATGTTTTTAGAAGGATGAGGGCTATATAAATTCACAATAAAATTATTTAAATTCCAAAAGAAATCTGTATTGTCAGTTTTTCTGTTTTCATAGATTTCTTTTTGCCCATTATATCTGCACACTCTATCTTGCTCTTTTCATGATGAAGAACCAGTATTGAAAATCATTCACCTCGTTCATGGGTGGTCTTTTTTTTTTTTTTTTTGAGACGGAGTCTCGCTCTGTCGCCCAGGCTGGAGTGCAGTGGCGCAATCTCAGCTCACTGCAAGCTCCGCCTCCCGGGTTCACGCCATTCTCCTGCCTCAGCCTTCTGAGTAGCTGGGACTACAGGCGCCCGCTACCACGCCGGGCTAATTTTTTTTTTTTTTTTTTTTTTTTTTTGTATTTTTAGTAGAGACGGGGTTTCACCGTATTAGCCAGGATGGTCTCGATCTCCTGACCTCGTGATCCGCCCGCCTCGGCCTTCCAAAGTGCTGGGATTACAGGCGTGAGCCACCGCGCCTGGCCAGGGTGGTCTTGTAAGTGGCTACTGTAACTGCATTTCATGTCATTCCTGGGGAGAGAACGCCCCTAGTAACAGCAAGTGCAATTAACTAGTAGTTCCTGGGTTAGCCAGCAGCACTAGCACAGCAAAGTCCAGGAAGGGCAAACATTTCAAATGTCAATCACTACCATGAGCCGGAAGCCATGCGGAGGGAAGCAGGAGCCGCACTACTTTCAGAAATAGCTTTGATCCCAGAGAAACTGTTCCGCAAAGCAGTTGGCTGGGCCGGAGGCGCAATCGCCGCCTCCTCTCCTCCCCAGACATCTCAGCGATGAGGAAAGCCTTCCCTTTCCTGGGCACACCTTTACCACAAAACTGTGCCTCTGCTCCTCCACTGCGATTTCCGGGGCTCCTTCTAGCTTCACATTCTACACAAATTCACATTCTGACAAAAGTTTTCATAATGTGTCCCTGGCACGTTAGTGAAAAGAAAATAACGTGACCTAGCAAAACAAAGGCATGAATGTGAGTGGAAACGACCAGACAGAGCCCCTCTTCCAGGTTCTGGATGAGAGCGTCCTGCTGTCAGTCACTGGCAGGGCTCCCCGCCCGGCCTTGCACCTGTCCAGTTCTTCCCGAGGCTCTCTGAGGACGACGAGGAACGCCAGCTGCAATATTCACTTCTACACTTGGGCCCTGGAAACACTAGCCAAGCACAAGAGATTCTGGCATCTACTTAACAAATTTCTTTGCACTCTTCGGGACAGCAGCTATGCAGAGTGCAGGGCGCCCGCGGGGAAGGCGATTCGTTCTGATGGCCAGCACAGGAATCCAACACAACAGGTCTTCAATTTCCCGCCCGTGCATTCCTAGGGCCTGTGTGCTCTAACCTCCGAAATTAAGTGATCTTATTCTGATTTTCTCATCCGCTCTAAGAGAAAAATACAGTTGTTGTTCATCTAGAAACGAAATAAATTTATAAAAGGGAACTATCACAGATGTTGTAAGTATCAAACTAAATTCATTTATGGGAAAGATTCCCTTGTATACAAATTCTATAAATTCTCATGGAACTCGCTCACTTCTGACTTCATTTTTGCTAGATCTTGAATCACTGACTAGGTTGTCTTTATTTTCTGTGTCCGGCCTGCCCAGTGTATTTACTTCTGAACCTCAGCTGCTTCTACAAAATATTAGGAAACAGAGAGGTGCGTTATTTTATGATCTCTGAACATTAGGGATGAATGGCAGGTTTATTTTATATCATCACTGTCTTTTTACTCAGATTTTTAAGTCAATATCTAATACTCTCTCAATATGTGGTAATGTGCATGGATTTTTTTAAGTTTTCCAATAAAACCATCTTTTTCTTTCAATACATAATTTCAGAAGGCTATCCAAATTCTGAAATATAATTTTATTTTGCCTTACAATTACTTTTCTTCTTAAAGAAACAATTTTTAAATTTCTTGAGGAGAATGCAGATGAGAAAAGCATTCAGCACACAGAAATGTGTCTGACTGTGGCTTTGAGTGGGGCAGGATGAGGATCTAGGCAGAATGTTCAAACAAATTCATACGCAAAGTAGTAAAATAAACAGTAAGAACGTCTATGTATCTTCAGTGCAAGGTGTTATTTCTGAAAGGTGACCAGGCCCTTGGCAAGGAAAAAACAGTACATGCAAGTTAGAAAATAAAGAAGAGCCTACCTTTTGGACCTGATAGATCTATAGAGAAGGACAAAAGAAAAAAGAAATGTAAAATCCAATTAAAGAAGCTGTAACATCAGAATGAAAGGTTCTCCCCATATGAATCAAAGCCACAATGAATAACAGTAAAATGTGAATAAGAAAACACGTGAGGTCCCACTGACAAGAGTTTGTAATTTTATCACTTACTTTACATTCCATTTTAGATACATCGGGGAAATAGGGGCATAGCCACACGAATCTCTACCAAAAATACTGCTATTATTCTAATACAGAAGTCTGTATAACCTATTGCCATCAATAAGAAAAAGTTCTTCCTTCATCTTTAATTCAAAATTTCCTTTTGCAGTAATAAAAGTTTAACCAAAAAGTGCAGAAACTTAATTGGAAAGTTAACTGGTCAAATTCACAAATAATGAACAAAGAGGCTTTGATGTTCTGATTCACACAGACACATACAGATTAACAGGAAAATTCCAGCTAAATGGAGTGATCATTAGAATGTAACAGAAATCTTCCTAAAAGAGGTTATTATCATACATTGACACATTCATTTGCTTCAGAGGTTTCTCTTAATTTTGTAGTAATCACTAGATAAAACTGAGATAGCTACTCATTTTCATTCATTCTCCATTAAGACATTTATCATATCAGGCACTATTGAAGGCACTGCCAAAACTGCAAGACCAAGAAGATGGCATTTCTAGTCTTATATGGGGGAATACATGTGACCATATCCAACAATATGACTGTAAGAAACAAAGCATCTCTAACCAAAATGTGTATCAAGTCAGTAGCAAGAAAAGAGATACCCCGATCACCATTTTTTTCTATCAGTGTAGGTTCTCCCTAAGAAGTTCAAGGTTCCCTTGAATTTCCCAAAAATATGTACATTATTCTCCCCTAACAAATCCGTTAAAAAAGAGCTCATATCCTTTTAAACAGACCCTGGAATGCAGCTAGAGTAAGCTGTGGTGGGTTCTCGCCGTCTGTGTGCTGAAAAGAACCACCTCCACGCTTCCCTTGGGGGACACCAACCCCGGTCAGCTTCCTGCCCTTCTCAGTGTTCTCAGAGCGGCCCCCTCAAGAAAACCCTGAGCCTGCTCAGAAACGCCTGCATCTAGGTGAGATGGCTTTTGACCCAGATGAAAACAGGGATCAGGTTTCTCAATTTTTACACCAAAGTATCAACCCTACCCTTTAAACACTGGTCTTCCAAAACGTATTCATTTCCCCTTAATCAACAACTTAAAATGCCAGTGCCCCAAGCTACCAGATTGTATAACCTCCAATTGTGTTAACTGGTTCTAATAATAGCCAGGCCCAGAGACTTGATATGCAAAGAAGAGTGTGAGGCACCTTCCTAAATCCTCCAGGCACCGCCAAAGATGGCCCGAAGACGTGCAAGCTCAGACCCCACTAGCTCGACTCACTCTTCCCTCTGGATGCACACACAGATGCTCATGTGTGTGAGTGCACATACACACACATGCACACACGAATGCGTGCGCGCACACATGGGTAACTCCTCCCGGCCTCTGCCCCACCCTTCGGATCACATAAAAACACAGCTAGGTGAACGGCTACTGATTCTGTATTCATAGAAAATTCTAACAAAATTGTCTATTTTATGTTTCATATTCCTGTGCCTCAAATTCCGCACCAAGAACTTTATTTTTCAAGGCATGCTTCCACTTGGAAAGTGACTAGGATTATGTGGATCATTCTATTTCCCCCTCTGCTGTGGGTGCCAGCATCCTCAACGTGAACTTCAACCCCATGGTCCACGGACTCACTCCATCCTCCACTCTTACTTGCTTTTATTGCTGGCTGCAGAACTGATTTCGAGACAGAGGGGTGTGCTAGGAAGACCACAGGCTTTGCATCTTGTCAAACCCGGTTTGAACCTTGGCTTGGCCATTTTCTTGGATTCAGGGAAAACTGTGTCTCCCCCTAAGGCCTGTTTTCCTCACCTGTAAAGTTCGGGAAGATGCCCGCCACCGACAGTAGGTGACAGCCCCAAGCCCACCTCTGCTGCACGGCAGGGGCCCTGAGATGACCCCAACCCCAGGCTTCTCTGACTAGTAACAAAATACTCATCTATCTTATTTAAGATCTTTCAATCCTTCTTTTGAAGAAGCAGACATAAACTTTAAACAAGAACGTCATCACCTGGCAAAGGCCCAAATTCATGAAGGCACTGTTGCTGTCGTTAGGAATGCGTGCTGCTCTGGGCTGACTGGACCGGCCCTTCCTCCTCTGGCTCTCGTCTCCCAGGGCAGCTTCCTGTCTGTCACATCCATCCTCTGCTACCATGAAGAGTGGCTTTCCCTCCGCAGAGCTGCTTCACTCCGTGTCCTCACTCACCATCTTGGCCACGTTCATTTCTCTGCCCCTCCTGACACGTCTCCCACCTTCCCAGGCTCTCGTTCCACAACCTGGTAAATTTGGGTGGCTCTGGGTCCTGGTCCGTGACCAACCCCAGGCAGGAGTCTGCAGCCACACCCATGACGCCCGCCCTGTGTCATAGCCGCAAGCCACAGTCGTGAGGGCAGAAGTGCAGGCATCAGTGATGAGGAAGCTGAGACTGCAGATCCACAGAGGACCGTGCAAAAGGTAATGCTGGCCAAAGGTGCTGCCTGCAAGGGACACCATCCCCTCCTCTGGTCCCTGCTGTCTGACAGCACAGACCAAAACCACCACTCTTGGTGGAGGACATTCCACCAAATTTGCAACAGGACGAGATATTTTGACCCTGTGGCCCCCTGAAATATCTTTATGATAAAACCATGCTGTAGGGAGAAGAATTTCAAAATCTGAATGCAATCTACTAAGCAAATGACATCTGTACACGTGCTGAAGAGGACAAACCATGGAGTTTTACATCAGACTTCCCAGATTTCATCAGATGTTCTCTGCAAGGCCTGTGCTCATCAGAGGCATCAGCGAAGGCTGCTCTGCACCCCCTTTTTACGATACTAAAATTAAATGCCCAAGACTTGGTTTCCCACCTGGAGTAGCAACTACTTTTTATATTTTGACTTTTTGAAAGAGATAGGGGTCTCATTATGTTGCCCCAGCGGGAGTGCAGCAGCTATGCACAGGGACAATCATGGCTCGATCACTGCTTCAGGCTCCTGGGCTCAAGCAATGCTCCTGCCTCAGTGTCCTGAGTAGCTGGGACTACAGGTGCATGCCACCACGCCCAGCTTATTTTTTATTTTTCTTCTCGTGTGGCTTGGAATATTACAACAGAGATGCGGGAGTCCAGCAACAGATTGTCCTTACGTTGTACAATTAAAATGCAACAGAAAAGGGCTTCCTTTGAATCAAAGGAATAAAGGGATGCTTTGCTTTTAAAGGAGGCCATTCACATAGATGATTGCTTGCCTTAATTCATCTTAGTTATTTTTCAAATCAAGAACTTTTGCCCAACAACTTTGTAACAAGCTGCTTATATCAATATGTATATATTTAAATCAATTCTATCCATAATTAAGGATATACTATGGGGCAGGTGTGATGGTTAACGCCTGTAGTCCCAACACTTTGGGAGGCTGAAACAGGCAGATCAAGAGGTCAGGAGTTAAGAGACTATCCTGGCTAACATGGTGAAACCTCATCTCTACTAAAAATACAAAAAATTAGCCGGGCGTGGTGGCCGGCACCTGTAGTCCCAGCTACTCAGGATGCTGAGGCAGGAGAATCGCTTGAACCCAGGAGAGGGAGGTTGCAGTGAGCCAAGATCGTGCCACTATACTCCAGCCTGGGCGACAGAGCAAGATTCTGTCTCAAAAAAAGATACAATATATTTTTATCTAAATGTTTAATTTGGAAGATGTACGTACATACACTATATAATTCTTTTTTCACCTTGATTTTGTAGAAATCCTAGGTTTGTATTCTCGATGAAAGTAACTTTCGTTACATCTACTGTACAAGAGAAAGATGAAGAAAGGATGACGGATGCTATCATGAAGGCCGAGTAGGGCCCACTCACAGCTTCATGGCCATCTGCATCCTCTGGGCCCTTGGCTCTGCTATAACAACAGAGCTGAGACACGGGAACTATGAACAGGGCAGGGGGCCTTAAAATCCCATCAATCGTGCAAAACCTGCCAGAACAACAAAATATTTTGGGAAATTCTTTTTATAACTCTTTTACAACCTTAATAAAAAACAAAGACTGAGGTCCTATTGGGGAGCCAGGCGAAGTGAATTAAAGTCGGATGAGCCTCGGAACGCCAGCATTAGCCTGAGGGGGTGGCTTCTGGCTCTGGAGAAAGAGGCAGCCGTCTGCTCACACAGTGGTGTGTCCTAAGAAACAGTGGCCACTGCCCGCCAAATTAACCACCTTGCCCACCTGCTGCCGTTAGGTTTCTAAAACAGATGGAAGGGGCCAGCAGTGTCCTGCACACAAGGAGCTTGAGAGTGTCCACTGAGGTATGAACAGACATTTCTACAGAGACACTGATACTGGGCCGTGTGAAAAAACACTTGAAATTGTCATTTAAAATATATATATGTAAGCCAGGTGTGGTAGCTCATGCCTGTAATCCTAGCACTTTGGGAGGCCAGGAGGTCAAGGCAGGAGGATCACCTGAGATCAGGAGTTTGGGACCAGTCTGGCCAACATGGCGAAACGCCGTCTCTATTAAAAATACAAAAATTAGCTAGGCATGGTGGTGCGCACCTATAATCCCAGCTACTCGGGAGGCTAAGACATGACAATCGCTTGAATCTGGAGGCAGAGGTTGCAGTGAGCGGAACTTATGTCACTATACTCCAGCCTGGGCAACAGAGCAAGACTTGATCTCAAAAAAAAAAAAAAAATTATACATATACATATTTAAAAACCAGTTCAGAATAAAAGCACTATTCCTTCTAGTGGCCTCCGGCACCACTATGGATACCAGAGCTTGAGTGTGCAGGACGGTTCCCAGGGCTCGGTGACACTGCCCAGCCTCTGCATGCAGGCTTCTACACGGAGCGGCAAACTCCTAGCAGCAGAGGGCAACGAGCACGTTAGACCGGTGGCAGGGCCCCAACCCTGCAGGGAATGTGGCCAGCTTGGTCTTTGCTGGGAATGTGGCGGAATCTACAACCACCGTAAGAGAATCTGGAAATTCAGGTTTTTATTGGAAATCTTACTGGTTTTAAACACTGGCTCGCCTTTTTACATTTGGCTATGTAAGCCAAACAAGAAAATCAACCCTGGGGAAGACAGCTGGTTACTCCTGTCTAACAAAATAAATTCAAACCTTCTTAAGAAGAAGAGCCCTTGGGGGCGGGTTCGGGTGTGGATGGTCCCTTGGCCCCAGGGCATGGCCCATGGGAGAACGTGGACTGAGTGGGGTCTCAGCTTCTATGTCTCTGAGGTCAGAGAAAAGGTCACACCATACTGTGAGTTAAAGAACCCTCATGCTGTCGGAAATGACTCCCAGCTCCAGCTCCAGATGATGAAAATAACTTGCAAATGGCTTGAGCAGGTGTGTCAACACATTGCTAGCCATTTTCCCAGGGAGGAATTTCTTCCCTGCCTGCTTCATCCATGTGTTCATTCCCATCTCTCTATCACACAGGAGCTCCAGATATCCTGAAACCTGAAGGCCGTGTGTGACCAACACTGTACAAACCACGGGGGACACATTTTTAAACAAAACAATTTGGCCAGTTTAAAAACTCATTAATCCATTCTTCTTTTCTACTTTAATCCAGAGAATCTAGATTCTAGTACAACAGTTAGAACCTAAAGCTCAGACCCTGAACATTTTGGCTCCCTGCAGCTGGAAACGACGATCTTCACGGGCAAGAGGCTTCTAAGCCCCTCTCAGGAGCCAGCAGGTCTGAGCAGGCATGCCTGATATCCGTGCTATGTGCACTCCCGGCCTGACCTTGGGCAGAAGTCAGGCACAAACGCACTCCGACCGTGAGCAACGTGAGCCAGCCAGGTGCGTCTGCAGCAACAGGTGCCTGCCTTTGCACGTGGGGCCCAGAACGCAAATCACTGTGAAAAGACCCAACGAGGAGTCCCAAACGTTACCTCCTTCTGCTGCCGCTCCAGCTCCTTCATGCGGATCTCACGAGCCTCCGCGCGGGCCGCCCGTTTTGCAGCGAGCCGGGCCTCTGCCTGAAACAGACAGAATATCTTATTAGAGGACAGAGCAGCAGGCACCTTCCCAGTGGAGGGTCAGCAGTGATGATGCGGAAAGAAAATCTTGTTCAGAGTTTAACAGATATACAGCAATAAATTCCAGACTAATAGAGTAAAAGGGTAGTCACGAGCAACAGAAATAGTCCTTATAAGAACTGCTACCATTTATCAAGCCCTTACTACACGCTAGGCAGGAACTATTCTAAGAGCTTTATGGATATGATGCCATGTACTCCCTGAAATAGCCTCATTAGGCAGAGACTGTTACCATCCCCAGTTTAAATATGAGGGAACTAAGGCACAGAGAGGGTAAGTAACTTGCCTGAGGTCACACGGCCTGTAAGTGGCAGGGCTGGGCAGTCAGCCTCCCTCTGGAGCTCTGACAGACGCATGGAGCGGAGTGTTAACAGCTGGATGCTACTCCAGGTTTCCAGTTCAATCCCTCGCTTTACAGAGCAGAAAGCGGAGGCCTGGAGAAGCTGCCAGACCCATCTGAGGTCATAGGGCTGGCTGGCATGGAGCTGGGACTGTAATCCCAGCGAACTCCCATCCAGTCACTTCTCAGCACACACGCACTCTCAGCTTCCCCTTCAACACAGCCGTGCCAGGAGTCCGTCTTTTCCCGACACAATGTAGATCACAGCAGAATGCTTCTAGCTGTTGGTAGTCCTTCCTTGCACTAAAAAATTAGCCTCCATATAAGTATTTTTCAACTTGTAGCTGTTCTGCCACATTCTGCTCCATGAGAACGTTTCAAATGCTTGAGCAGGAATGGACATGATGCTATCGAGCTTGGCATCTGAACTGTTTCTACAAACGACTTACAAAACATTTTCCAAACCGCATGTGTATTCACCGTTTCATGTGATACAACAACCCAGTAAGCTCGATGGCATAAGTCATAAGTGTTACTGAATGTAGGTTTTCTGGTATCAGATAAACCCCACCCTCTTTCTACTTAAGTTTTTTTGAGAATACGTCTGTAATCCTTCCACCAATGGTTCTATAAACACAGTTTTCAGACGTCTTGCATAATGTTTTCCTTTTTTTCTTCCTTTTTTGTTTTTTACCTTTGGGGATGGGGTCTTGTTCTGTCGCCCAGGCTGAAGTGCCGTGTGTGTGTATTCACAGGTGTGATCACAGCTCACTGCAGCCAGGAACTCCTGGGTTCTAGCAACCTGCCTCAGCCTCCTGAGTAGCTGGGACTACAGGTTTGCACCACCACAACTGGCTCCTAGATAATATTAAAATGGGACTTGCAAGGTGGCTAGCAAGCTCCTGGCATGGGGGTGGTCCTGACAGGGACATCCATCTCTCCCATCCTAGACTTACACTATATTACAGATGTATCTTCTTTCTCAATTTTAATCTAAGTTGCAAACTGGCCATACTTGATCTGTCGTCTTGAGGTTGCCTGGCTTGTGTCCTCATGAGGAATCTGTTCTATTCGCTTGGCTCCTTTATCAACCCACCCCATGTCTTTCAAATCAAGGGGTGTCAAAAATCACAATTGCATCAAGAGTTTGATACCTTGTTGCCATTTTCAATTTCCAAGACCACAATACATGGTGTGAAGGGCCTATTGGGGCCAGGCTAGGCATGGTGGCTCAGGTCTGGAATCCTAGCACTTTGGGAGGCCATGGCAGGTGGATCTCTTGAGGTCAAGAGTTCGAGACCAGCCTGGGTAACATGGTAAAACCCTGTCTCTACCAACAATACAAAAATTAGCCAGGTGTGGTAGCACACACCCGTGGTCCCAGCTACTTGAGAGGCTGAGGTGGGAGGATCACTGGAGCCTGGGAAGTTGAGGTTGTAGTGAGCTGTGATTGTGCCACTGCACTCCAGCCTGGGTGACAGAGTGAGACCCTGTCTCAAACAAAAGAAAGGCCTCTTGGGTCTATACAAAGATCTAGCAAAGAGGAAGGAGACAGAGAAGGAAAGGCATTAGAGTGACATCCTACAGCCCTACCAATGGGCCAGCAAAGTGACCAAGGCCACGCCAAAGGCAGCCCTTCCTAGTAAGGCAGGTGGCTCTGTGCCATTGGCTCAGTTTCTAAGCCAGTTCAGAGCAGGTATGAGGTTTCAAAGCAGCCACAGCCCACCAGCTTGGGGGTTGGGGGGTGGAGGAACAGAGAGGAGGGGCTAGGAAAAGAGAAGGGAGGCCATACAGAAAGAAGGGGAGCAGAGGGGTGAGATGTAAGAAAGAGGAAAGGGTTGGGGGAAAGAAGGGCACCAGAAGGGAACGGAGGGAGAGACAAGGGCAGTCGGCTGAATTCTGGGTTGATCTCCAAGACTCTGGTGTACACGCCCTGCATAGCCCTCTCCCACTGTGTGGGACCGTGGAATTGTGGGCTGGTCCCCAAGACTCCCACCACCAGTGTACCTGCATACCCCTCTCCCACTGAGTGTGTGGGACCATGGACACAATGGATGACACCACTGTAATTAGGCTGTATTACGTGGCAAAGAATATTAAAAAATAATTAAGATCCTTCATCAGTTGACTGCCTTGCTCAAAAGAGAGATTATCCTGTGGGTCTGCCCTAATCAGGAGAGCCCTTTAAAAGACGGTCTAGAAGTCAGAGTGTCCTTGCTGGCTTTGAGAAAGCAAGCTGCCCGGTGGGAGGGACCTCGACGAGCTGAGAGCTGCCCCTGGCTGACTGACACCAGCAGAACAGTGACCTCAGTCCTACAACCACAAGGAACTGAACTCTTCCAACAAAAATGTGGCTCAGAAGAGGGGCCCGAACTCCAGAAAGACCCCAGAGTGGCCAACAACTTGGTTGTACCCTTGTGAGACCTGAACACAGGACCCAGTGGGGCTGAGTCCAGGCTCTTTTTTTTTTTTGGTTTTTGAGACAGGGTCTCCCTCTGTCACCCAGGCTGGAGTGGCGTGATCACAGCTCACTGCAACCTCCACCTCCCAGGTTCAAGTGATTCTCCCGTCTCAGCCTCCCGAGTAGCTGGCACTACAGGGCAGGTGCCACCACACCTGGCTAATTTTTGTATTTTTTATAGAGACAGGGTTTTGCCACATTGCCCAGGCTGGTCTCAAACTCCTGGGTTCATGCCATTCGCCTGCCTCAGCCTCCTAAAGTGCTGGGATTACCAGCATGAGCCACTGTGCTTGGCCAATGTGCCCAGACTCCTGACCACAGAAACTGTGAGATCATAACTATGTGTTATCCTAAGCCGCTGAATTGTGGATATTTATTACACACTAGCAGATAACAGAAGGAGAGGAGACCTGAGGTGACTCCTGCTCTCACAGGGAAAGTATCTCTGTGAGCTGAGTGGGGTCCCAGGCACCTGCACGCCCACCCACTTCCCTGCCTGCCTGCCCAGCTCCCCACCCTAACCCTATTCCAGCTTAGCTCTGCTTGGGTCTGGCCAAAGGTCCTTGCAGAGCTCGCCTGCCTGAGCATGCAGTACTCCACCTGGGGGCTCCCTGTCAGGCGTGCCCCCTCCAGACTCGCGAGACTCCAAAACAATGTCCTGTCAGACTCAGCTGCTCTTGGGGGCCCGTCCTCCACCAAGGAAAAGGTTCCCATCATAGCCCGCCTTCGGCCTAACAGGTCTACCCTGTCCCTCACTTGGGGATAATGACATTTAAAGACTAAAAAACAATGACTTTTGCTGGAAGGCACATGGGCTTGGGCTGACAAAGGAACCCCATGGATGAACCATGTTACAGCATCAATTCCTCAGGAGGACACGCGCCCACCTCCAGGACAGGTCAACTATGGCGATCTCCACCTTACATTAGAATTCAGAAAGAAGTCCATTTGTCACTGAATACAATTCCAAATCCTTGCAACCTCCGCCTTTATCTCCACCCCTTACGATCCTCACGTGACTCATATGTGGAAAACAAAGTGCTGGCGATACCGGAAGTGGCAATTTAGTTTACAGGCAATTCTTGGAATCTGCCTGACTAAACACCAACAAATATATGAGCCAGCATTTAAACTGGCACAAAACCCATGCATGACCATCTTCACGAACACAAAACTACACACTTAGCCACAGAATAACTCTTGCCACTCGCTTAAGATGCCTAAAAGAAAATCTGCAGAGTTGGCTAGGCGTGGTGGCTCACACCTGTAATCCCAGCACTTCGCGGGGGCCGAGGCAGGCGAATCACCTGAGGTTGGGAGATTGAGACCAGCCTGGCCAACATGGTGAAACCCTGTCTCTACTAAAATTACAAAAAATTAGCTGGGTGTGCTGGTGGGTGCCTGTAATCCCAGCTACTCGGGAGGCTGAGGCAGAAGAATTGTGTGAACCTAGAAGGTGGAGGTTGCGGTGAGCCAAGATCGCGCCACTGCACTCCAGCCTGGGAGACAGAGCAAGACTCTGTCTTGAAAAAAAAAAAAAAGAAAGAAAAGAAAATCCGCAGAGTTTCGACAAAATTCTTCCCCAAACAGAGACACTGCAAAGAATGGCACAGCAGCCTGACAGGGCACAGCAGATGACAGACAGTGGGGAGAGTGCTGACTGTGCAGACACGGGTTCTCAGGGATCACGGCACCTCGGGCCAGTGCTCCGGTGGTGCAGGACGAATCCTTTATCGACTGACACTTTTGTAAAATATAAAATCTCACGAAGAGCCACAGCCATGTCAGACTGCTTGAAGAGTTTCGGAACACAGCCTGTCACTTTCTGTGAGTAGCCTGTGGGCTAACCATGGCCCGCGGAGGTCACAGGAACGCACTGTGCTGTGAATGCACGGTGGTGTCTCAGCACCGCTTGAGACGGTGGGAGGGATTTCCAAAATGCGGTTTAGGTGTCCAGTCTCCCAGGAAACAGGCAAAGCGCCTGGTGACAATGTACATGTGATGAGGACCACAAGGGGGAAGAAACGTGGGGCGGGGGCGGGGGCTGCTGTGGAGAACTTGACCCAACTCTGGGGGGCTGTGGAAGTCGTCCGCAGGACAGGAGCCCTAAGCCGGACCTGAAACAGGACAAACAGAGCC